TTTTTTTTTTTTTTTTTAACAAGACCGTTATATGAAGAGATCTGAACAGTGGACACTAATGTAGGTATAGGTTCGTCGACTATACAATAATAAAAAAATATTTTTAAATATTATTTTATACAACCTTGGTTTCGATACAGCCGTTGTCGTTGAAGTGCAGCTTTAGCCGGGAAATGTGATCGTCCGAGGATCCACGGAGCTCGGAAAACTTGTACGTCCAAACGTTTGAATTCGTCCAGTTGTCGTATAATGTGAACCCGTTGTCCCAATCCAGTATTAGGTTCGATGGCTGTTGGTTGTTGCCAAACAACACATAGAACGTTCTGCTCTGTGAAAACGAAAGACAATAACGTTTTGATATTTTATAGCGATACTTATTATTATATATACTAATCAATAAATGGCTAAATATTATGAGAGTCGTTTGAGGTCCCAGTATATGTATGTTATATTATAGTGACTGATGGTACTGTGGTAAGTATTTAAATTAGGTTTATGATATTCCGATATTTTAAATTCATTATTTAAAATTCTGTGGTGTGTGGGTTGAGAAATAAATGATTTTTTTGATAACTCTATTTTGGAAACTTTTTGCGATCTTATCATACTTATTACTTGATATGAGACCCTAATTTATGTTTAACGTACCACCAAATCTTCACGCTGTTTTACAAAAATCTACGAGGAACTAGATTACGTGAAATAATTAAAATATTTATTTTATTTTTAAAATCACACAAACTAACCGAGAAAATTAGTCTAGTAAGTTAAATATATATATATATATATATAATATTGATACTATAGTGCAACGGCCAATTGGTGACCTAATTACCAATATGCAGGGGATTACCATCGATTGCAGTAGTGCCATTCACAATATTATTCATGTTTCCCCAAAAATTCGTTCACATAAAATACGTATGTACAGCTTTTTGTTGAATGCATTCAAATTCGAAAGACTTACTTTGATGTGCATCATGGATGTGCATATCGACCTGTGCCACGCGCACTGCACGTCCAGTAGACCCTGTTTGGTTTCCATTGAAAAGTACCGGGACACTCCGTTGGATGTCTGTAGTAAAAAACAATTTTGCCTCTGGTCCACATTTTCTGCATCCTTCACTAGTCTCAACATRGACTCGTACAGTTTGTACACCACGCCACAGTCCAGCCATTCCGTAATGGACATCTGTTAATATGACACGTACATAAAATATATATAAATCAATTGTTTCTAACATTGGGATGGGTAGAGGGGTGCACCTAAAAATATAACAGAACAATTTCGACTTTGGTATTTTGTTATTAATCWGAAAAAATATTATCTAAAATGCATTTTAGAGTATAGTAGGCACTCTACTATACTACTACTAATAGGCTGACTCGAGTGCGTTCCAAATTGATCTTTATTTAATGTTCCTAGTGCGCCCGGAATAAAGTGCTTCTCAAGAAAAATATCACATTTTTAGGTTTCCAAAGTCTATCGCGAGGGAGTAAATTGGCTTACAACCCAAAAAATATTTTGTGATTTTTATTTATTTAATTATGTATTATTTTAGTTCACGCCCTCCAGTTTGGATGACCATTTTACTTTTTTTTATTCAAGAAAAATGTTTTTCCAGAGTATCTATTAGGCGTATATAATATACAGACTATTATAAGCTGATGTTTAAATACCATTCTTTTGACAAAATTTAATTTTTGTATTTTTATATTTATTATTAGCTGCCCGATATTCCTCCGGAAGAAATTATTTTATTATAATTTAATTTAAAAACATAACAMTATTTTTTATAAGGCTGTACAAATATTATAATATCATTACATATTGCAGTTATTGTTGTTGCTAATTTCTCAAAATTATATATTATTCTACATTTAGAATTCAACCACTTCAACGACTGAACGATTGGAGTTGGAGATGTCGATCTCATCGATTGTATAAAGAACGGAACGCGCATGCGTATTAGAAACATTATAATTTTTTATTTTATTTTTTATTAACTTTTTAAATTATTATAGGTCAATGATTATAAAATAAAGAAAAAAAAGAAACAAACGTTATCGGTGAATATATGAAAAAAAAAATTATTATTATTATTATTATTATGAGGGTTCATACCCAGTTTACTTCGTCTCCAAAATCAAGTTAGATTCTTATATCTATATATATATATAATATATATAGATAGATTTATATGGTTTTCGATAAATCAAATTTTATAGAAAGTAGGTACTTTCTGTTTAAAATGCAAATTTGTCGATATGACTGCAGACACACTTGGGCTATAAAATAATAAATAATAATTAAAAACAGAGTGCACTCAGGATATCCCCACTGAGAAACGCCATTGACTAGGTTAGGATTTTTAACCATGGTTAATTTATGGTCTATATTTAATAATTCAAAAATCAGAATATGATTAAAGTAAATAATAAACGAAAAATATTGGTGAGCATTCCGTGATCTATAAATTATAAATTTTTAAACATCTAGTAATTAAGTAACTGGTATAATTCTTTCATAGATACTCAATCAAGTTAAATAATTGTTTCTTATATATTATAATTTATAAGAACTTAAGTCAAATATTTTGTTATACCAGACTAAATATAAATAAATTATAGTCCGTATAAAAATAAAGATTGCCCCTCTTAAAAACTACACAAGCTACGCCCACGTATATAATTTGTATTATACAAGTATGTCAAAACACGGCGCATGGCCCCTATGAGATATTTGTGACGACGACATAATATAAATATATATTAAGTGTAAGTATACCTAACCTATCTTTTAATTTAATCGACTATTGTTTACAATAGTTGCCTTTGGGTCACAATCGACACTCGAGCTCGGCAAACTCTGTGATTTCATTAATGCAATAGTGATAAAAACTTACAAAGTRCTTAACACCAAATGTGAAATCTATGCAATAGGTATCAMGTTTGCGGTGTAGGTAACTTGATGACWTTTTTTTTTATGGTTTACACTTTGATTAGTAATTGTTTATTATCGTGTTGTGTGATATGAAATAGAAGTTTCTAAACGAATGCATACATGTTATAATGTATAAATTATAATACATCATCAATAATATCCCGACTTTTAGTAACGTCGTTTTAGGCTAGGAATGACTTATGTTTAAAATAAAAAAAATAAAAAAGTAACGTCGTTCTTTTAAAGTAGATAAGTATGGCTACGCCATACGGTGTTGTTATTCAATCGTTCCTGAATCCTGATCTCTGGATTACTAATTGRCTCTCCAAACAGTTGCCACTTGTCTATCAGCTACGAGATGAAACATGAAACGTCACTCACTCCACACTTTATATACATACATTCTATGCCTCATGAGGARTAGAGTGAACTTTCAGAGAAGTATATATTTAATAAGCCATATTAAACGAACGATATACACATTTATACGATTTACATAATACATATATGTATATATCTGAATTACTACAACAACCCATAAATGATAATTGATTATACATAAAAAATAATACAGTTCCATCTTCCATCGGTTCTTTTTCCAATTAATTATATATAATACTACATATATGTAATGATAAATAGTAACTTATAGGTGGTGAAAAATGTTTTCAGACGTTAAATTTTCTATTCAAAAACTATTTGAACTTTGTTTCTTGTAAAATATTACAAGTATAATGCATAACAACATGAACAGCTGTATAGCTATAATTATAAACAAATATTATGCAAAACTTTGAGTGTAATATAATACAACAATATACCTGTATAAAGCCGTATGGTATCTTATAAAGTTTTAGGTTAGGTATTAGGTTAGAAAATAAATCACCACAGTACTGTATATACTGGCGCCGTGTACCTACCATTTAGGTAGTACTTACAGTAATTTATTGCCATTTCCGTGGTGACATATCGACGAAGTGGATTTATATATACAATGCATAATATAAAGCATTTCTAATTTATATAACAATAATAATGCACTAGGGAGACATAAAACGTTTACGGTAAAATATGGACGAACATAGAATTTTGTGCATCGAACTATACGCCAGTAATGTGTATACGTACGTATGTGCACGTGTATTCAGATGTGTTATGAAATATTTATTTTATTGCTATRAAAGTTTCAAACTATTATGTCTATATCAAATTCAAATGACACTTACCGGGGGTGTGTCGAAAAGCAATACGTCACGACCTCTGATTATCATGAATCTTGCGCAGTAACTTTGCCAAGGATGGTTATTGTTCAGCACGCCCTCGTTCACCCAACCCATATACTCGATTTTTTCGTTGATACCAAAATTTAAATTGTACAACTTAATCTGAAAAGAAAAACAACATAAAATTGATACAAATTCAAACACATGAAAAAAATATTTATGGTGATGTGCAWCGATAACAAAGCAATAATAGTTAGGTACTTGTATTTCCGAGAGATTTGCGATATTTTCTGATATAAGTTTAACCCACTCGGATAAACTTTTGACATTATCGCAATGTATGATAGTTGAATTCAGATCGTTCATGCCGTGCACTTCGAAACCGTTTCGCCGCAGTTTGTCCGTACCCTGCACGTATCTGGTTACATAACCCATCATCAACGGTACTGGATTCAAAATTAAAACCATTAAACACAAACATATACGTAACTATAATATAAGTAACTGATAGTCATACTCATAAGATAATCAATCCATGGTCCGTCTTCTGTGTCACTCTCTCCGTTATTGTTGTTGTTGTTGTTTTTATTACCATTCCCTGCAATGTAGTTAAAATTATATTATTACCTGTGGTAAAAGTCCATCAACACGGTTAGTTAAAACTTTAAAAATAAGTCTTAACCTTAAGATATAACATATGAGGTATAAAATCTATACTTCACATTTTCACATTGTTACGATGGTGTAATAATTAATATATAAATATCTTCAAGTATAAAATAGGTAGCGCATAATTTCTCTAAATTATGTTAAATCTGATTATTTTAAGTTTAAAGAACTTTAGACTTCTCCATTGCTCTTGATAACGACATGATTCTCTTAAAAAAAGTTACTCCATACCTTAGAGTTCACCTAGACATCAGACATACATGGAAAATTGGCCACTCATATAAAAACTAAGAAAAAATCTCTCAACATTAAACTCTATCTAAGTCCCTCCTCAAATCAAATCTTGCACTCAATATCTTTAACAATTATTGACAATAATCAATATTAAATATTTTTAAATAACTATACTTATATAAAATATTAATTTTGGCGCAAATTTTATTTCATTTTTGAATCTTTGGCGCTTATGTCATGTAGCCAAAACATCAAATATTAAGATATTTCAATCATTTCAGTCAATTTACCTTTATCTCATTACAAATGCTGAAATGCCCCACGTACGTAAGCAATCTCTACCTTCTTTCTGACCTCAAAATCCCAACCATTCGTTCACAAATCTCCTACTATTATAAATCGTTCCACAAAACATTCAACTATTAAAATTCAAATCCCCTAATTTCAAACCTTTCTTCCCTGCAATCCCTGATAACCCACCATGCCCCTTAAGAATAGTTAGCACAGTGACTTTCTCAACATTAAAAAAAAAAAGAATAACACAAAATTAATATAAAAAGCAGCCTAGAATATTRTGATGCAGGGTTTTTGGACCCCTCCCCTCCCGTATCATCATTCCGTCCATTATTGTAACCTTATACCCTTCATCCATATTATCTATTGTGTACATTTTAATTACAGATTGTCTATATTGTTTTATTATAACAAATAAAAACATATATTTATTTACTTAGTTATCATGAATAGGTAAATAATATAAACCAAAATATGTGAGTAATGCGATATTTATAACTAATATATTATAATACTTATTATATATGTGTATGGCACATGATTAACATTGGTCAATAATGAAAATTGTGACTTGAAATTCAACTATATCATTATTACCGATGCATATTATTGTAATAAGTAGTACAAAATTAAAAGTATGCACTATTCACTGCATAATAATCAATAGGTATCTATAATTTTCACTTAAAATTACATAAAAAAACCTGTTTTAATATAATTGTGATTAGTGATTTGTAAATACCACTGATACAATTACAAAATCTTAAATGATAAAGAAATTAATCAAATATACAACGAATTGATAATATATATAATATAAATAATACCTCTTGCTCCTAGTAAAAAAGGAGCTGCAGCTTTATAGTGCTTGACCAATAATGTAACGTGATCTCCAGAATTTCTTAAAATGCGTAAAGCTGCATCGTGACAAGCGTTGGTAATCAACTGGTCGTTCACTGTTTTAAAGAAAATGAATAAATCCCAATTAGTAAAATAAAAAGTATTATACTGTTATAATTTATAACGTATACACGTAAAACAACTTTTCAAAATTTACTCATAAGTAATAACTTAATACCTAACTTTAAATAGAAGTGACTGAAAGGGGTGTGTACTTCCCTAGTATGTATTAAGCCAAACCTTCTCAAAACTWTTAAACAATGTTAAGAGAGGTGATGTGTTATCGACGATGAAATTACTATTATTTGATTTTTACGTTTTAGTTAAAATGTCTCTGAGGATAATATATGTATTGACAATTAGCATAATTACCCTTTWTCACACCCCCATCAAAAAATGAAAATATTTATTATATATAATTTTACGAATACTTACAACTGTGTGTGTACTAAATACTTAATAATATACTTCTTAGTATGATTWGTATGTTGTGAATACGTGCTTATTATACRCAGTTGTATTTATTTATGTTTATTTAGAATTTATCTGTGTACTTGGGATTTCAGGGTATAAAAAATGATATAAAATAATTTATAACATATTTTTGTTTTTATGCTAATGATATAAAGCTTTAGTGCTTTACGCTGAGTGTCACTTCAAAAGTATAGGTACACGTATTCCCAGTAAATTGCAGTGTGCTCTAAAATAATTATTTTTAAACGAAAAGAAAAATGAAATAGTTTAGTTGTGCTCTGGCACGTAGTCAGACTTTCTCCCATAAGGGGCCAACATTTTTTGGTCCCTCCCTACTTGTACTCYCTACCAYCCCACTCCGTATTAYACAAAATCTATAAAAAATACTAAATTTKAATAATGTATTGTCTGTATAAGTTTAAGAGGTCGCTGCATCCRCRTGTGTTGTCTACGATTTACAAATATATAATATAGCAAAAACGATTTTGYGCGGAAAAGAACCGAGAAGGTTATATAGTCATAACTAAGAAACGAAATTTTCACTACATATAAAAGAGAACATTGGCTGTGAAATATATCGTTTTCATATTTTTTTTTTTATAGAAATTAAAGAAAAAGTTATTCAAGTTTGAAAAATACAAAAATAATGGATCTTGATACAATGAGAATATTTTTGTATATATAACATCATAGAATTAAAAAAGATACTTCACCAATAATATAATGTTCTTCATTTTATTGTATATAACTTCGGAGTTTTAACTATCACAATAGCCTGAGTGATTCTATATCCACCTTTAAACAGTTTTTGCTGTGTTGTACATTTGTAAGATGGAGACATAATCATCACTTGTGAGTGTAGTATCCTCTTAAATAGTGTTTCCAGTTTTCAATCTATTATTAAACTTGTTATTGTGTTATTTACGATTGTTAGTATTATACAGAGTATAATTAAATTCCATAACACTTAAAATATTTAAAAATAAAATAGAAGGGGTCAGGGGTCAGTTCGTGGCTACAGACTTTTCTTAGGAGGACAGGCCCCCTAAGCCTCCCAGTGGCTCCCACCTAGGTGACGTGTCTGGTTTGTTCAAAAACGTTTAGCGATAAAGGTGGATTTTTTATTTATATATTACCACCTATTTGAAAGCAACGATAATCTATTTCATACTGAAAACGATACTGAACGAAAGTTTTGTCAGAAATATGAATTTTTTATGCGTTTATAGGTTTACTACAAATCAAAATATTATAGCGCTATATACCTTTTATAATAGCATCTCCAACGAATAACCTTTTTGTGTGGTAAGCGGCACCTCCTTCGGGAATTCTCGATATCAATATCGGCAAGCTGTTTTCTTGACCCCCTTTGACGCTTATTCCGAGGCTACCGTTTTTTCTTGTAACAGTTACATATCTCAACTGAAAAGTAATTTAAAAAAAAAATAAAAACAATCGCGTCACAAGTGTTATTTCTGCTGCAATACAGTTCAGGTATATATATATATATACATATATATATATATAAAAAAAAAAATGAAATGAATGACATCGTTTAATATATCTACTATTTGATGCATATATTATACGAATAAGTATAGTCTCCCAAATATTGAATTATATAAAATTGGATAAATTCACAAACATATTTGAATTTTATCTTCCACAAGTGTCGTGACCTGCAATGCATCATTTTTTAAAGATCCTATAAATATCTATATAACTAYATAGGTATATAGAAATTATTGAAAACATATATAGTTCAGCACTTGTACATTGTGCAATCAAATATCTAGATYGTGTACAAATTAAACCATACTATATACGTAGAACAGCGGTGGAAAACGAACGTTGTAATGAGTAAATATATTTATCAATTTTTTTATTTTTAGTTATACTTACATAATAGTTGGGACTTGGCTGATAGTTGTCGACAGTATCCTCGGACGATGATGATGACGACGAATGATGATTGTCGACTACTTCTTGTTTCTGGAGTTTCAGACATTCCAGGGTCAAAACTAACCGTACGGTTAATGAACCTCGATTGGAATCGTTCACTCGTACTAATCCCGTCTTTGCCTAATGGTGTAATTCATTAAAGTTTTCAAACCCAGTGTTTAATATAGTGACGCAAAATCATTATGCGTGATATATATTATTACTTTAATTCCATCCAAGCACTCCTCTTTTATATCCGATTCTTCGGTACTGTTTAAATTCAGCCGCATAATTTCTCTGAGTTGAGCACAACTGAAATCATACAATATAAGAAACATCGTTAGTTATGAAATATTGCAAATATTTAGTACATTACGTTCATTATTTATGCTTAAAATAACAAAAATGAGCCACAGGACTGTAGGAGTATGCAATTTAATATACCACAAATTTTCATAGTTAGGTTAGGTATATCGTATGAATGTATGTATATACCTACATACATAATATACAACTATATACTAAAATACTAGAAAGTAATAATTCATGTTGTACGTTATTATACATATGCATTATAATATTTAGAAATGCATACATTTGGCATTGTTAGTGGCATAATTAATACCTACATATAAATATATAAATATCCAACTTAATTAAAAACAGCAAAAACAATTTTAGTTGCATTTTATGTATTTTTATGGGTTTTGTTCTTCAATAACATTGCGTAAATGATATTATGAATAATGTACATGAAATAATAAAATGCACCAAACTCATAATACAATTCACTTATTTATAGTTTTAGGAACATAAATAAAATAATAATGTATCTTGGTGGTTT